GTCCAATTCACTCCAACAGGGGAAACAGTAAATCCTTTCTAATACCCTAAGGCAATCCAACATTCAACAGTCTCTGGTGTTATTACTTTCTTAATGTCCAGTTATATTTTGTGTATTTAGGAATGCATCCAGCTTAGCCAGCTAGACATAGTTTCTGTTGCATGCCTTCCCTTGAGAGGAAGGGTTGGCTGGGCGGGGTAATCTTGCACTGTCACAAATGTTTGCTGAAAAGGAGAAATGATCGGTGTATCTACTCACTGAAGGAACAATTTTTCTTTTAAAGTGTAAGTGCATTTTAATATGTTAATAAAGTGGATTTAAAGTGGTTTTACACTATGGGCAGTATCTGTTTTCTCTGAGCTTGGCAGTTTGTTTAATAAGAGGAGGACTGTGTGTGGAGGAAGTCATATCTGGACCTGTGGATATTGGAGGGTACATGCGGGTGTATTGCAAGAGATCATTTGGAGCAAACGAACAGCTACAGGGTAAGAAGAGGAGCTTGAGAATGCGAGCTGATTTGTCAGTAAAAGTGCATATGGTCTATCTTTAACTACGTAGATGACCTGTAACCTCTGGTGAGTGTGGTGTTTTGAAGACTGTTGCACTTTATAATATTTATTTACTGAGTGAGTGTGGACTTGTTTTTCACAATATATCTGTATATATCTATATATTTATTGTATACTGTATGTACAAGCCTTTTTATGAATAATGTGTTATTGTAGGGAGTGCAGGAACACATGTAAGTATACACATGATTTTTTTAATTTAATGTTTTGATATTATTTAATTATTGATCTTTTATTGTTCAGCGCTGCATGTATGTTTTGAGATGTATATATAGTAGGGAGAACAGCGTGGTGTAAATAGTTGTGAACAGTTCTGAAGGAGTCTATTCCACATTTTTACAGCTCTTATTGTGAAGGAGCCTTTCTATAAGCACAGGTTAAACTTATTTTTTCTCCATATGCCTTTTATATTGTAAGCCCTCAGGGGCAGGGCCCTCCTTACCATCTTGTCTTGAATTGATTTGTGATTGTAATGTCTTCCTTATATTTTAAAGCGCTACGCAAACTGTTGGCGCTATATAAATCCTGAATAATAATAATACGCAGAGTGTGTCCCTTACAATGACCTTAAAGTTAATCATTTTGTACCAAGTTTACTTTATGGGTCATTTTACATTTATATATGGAGATCATGATGATGATTATGGTGATGATGATTATGGTGATGATATACGGTGATGATATATGGTTATGATATACGGTGATGATATATGGTGATGATATATGGTGACCCCCTCCCCCCAATTGTCTCTTTTGAAGGGAGGGTACATTCAGTTCGACTAATCTTTCCTCATAGCTAAGGTCCTCCGTGTTTCTTGTAAGCTTAGTTGTCCCTCTCTGCTCCAGTTCCCCAACACCCTTTGTGCAAACTAGTGGCCAAATGTGAACTGCATATTTCAGATGAGGTCTTATTGATGTTTTATACTGTGGTAATTTTATGTATCTCTCTCTGGAGCCTATACCACCTTTAATACAAGAAAGCATTTTGCTTGCTTAAAAAACTGCACAGTACATTGAACTATATATCATCAAAAACTAAAAAGTACAAGAGTAAAGGATTACCAGTCTAATATGACTGAGACAAAAGACATGCATTCACTTTGAAATCTTATTATCATTACACCAGTCATTGTCCATCTGTGAACCTCCATCCTTACCCCCAGGGGCACAGGTCTGTCCTTAAACCCTGTCCACGTTCTGTAGTTCTGCTTTGGCCCAAATTATATTTGGTTTGCTGTCTTTGAATGGGCTCCTTTTCCATATATACAAAAGTCTAAATTGTCACACGACCCAAGATTTATGGCTTCATCTGGCTATAAGCTTCATTTGACTCCTATTGTATCTTCGCTGTTTATTAATATGGTTACATCTTTAACTGTGCAGGAAAGTTACAGCAGCCTTGAATATGTAAGGATTACTAAATCAGATTTGTGGCCAAACAGCCAAATATATTACTGAAATACTTATGTGTACTGTTTTACCTGCCAAAAGATTTGCAGTTCTGCTGTTTTGGTTTAGGTACCCGGCATACTGCATAAGTAGGGGACATTTCTTTACTTTATTGCTGATTGCACAATGAAGAAGCAGAAGTAAACATTTCTTGATAAATATATATATATTTATATTACTTGTCCCATTACCCAAAAGAATAAGGTAATATCATGTGAAACAATCATTGGTGTCCAGGGGAATTTTCTTTATCTGTGCTTGCTATATAACTGTGTGAAATAAAGGTCAAGTGGATGAGTATAGTATTGTTTCAATATTCCTGTATCAATAAATACAGAGTTACATTATAGTCTTTACATCTGGTCCCTGCAACAGGCAGCAGTGACACATTGGGAGTTATCCCTTTGAAACAGCTGCTACAGTAAATGCCAGGTCCTGTGGTTCCAACTTGTCTTCAAATTAGTGTGAGCAGCTACAGATGTGCAATTACAACAAAGCCCCATTCACGTCTGACAGTTGTGTCTCTTGTACCTTTTTTTGGGGGGGCAGAATTGTGTATTTTTGGCCCTATAGACTTCAATGGGAGCACCTAACAACCATCTCCTCCTCCTGGTAACTAGCTTTCCGAAGGTCAAAACAAACATTCAAGCCAAAAAAGGTGCACAAAACCAGGCAATAGAAATCTTCAAAATTGCCTAAAACCACTCACGTTCAAGTGTGAATATCAGCTAAGCCTTGAATTGAATTTACCTGATACATCATACCCATGCTCTGCTCCGAGGTAACCAAGTAACCAAGTATCAGGATTAGACTGACAGTTTTGTGTAATGCAGCAGAGCCGTAATTGGAATAAGATGCTTATTAACCCCTCCTCCATCAGCTTGTTTAGATGTTGTCTCCAGTTTATTAAGTATAAAAATTAATGCTGATAATGGTAATGTGAAATTAAACTTGAGAAATATATTTGTTACAATGTAAAGGCTCTTCAACATTGCCTTCACAAAAAGTATTTTTTATTATTCTATTTTCCAGGAGGATAACCCACGAACAAGGTCAGTAAGTTATTGCTATATAGCCTACTGTGTGAAAATATCAAGATACAATGTAGCACATTAGGATTATCCCATATTACTGCTTGTTAACTGGGTTAATATGGCAGTAACAGTTTTATATATGCACCAAAGGGAAGCCATTTTCTTCCAGCTTTATTGTTAGCAATCTGTTCAGCTACAAAATGGCAAATAATTATAATAAAAAGACCATATCAATAACAAGGAAATCCCCAACCAGAGTAGCCACAAAGACCTTCATAAAAAATATTTCATTACGTTTTTGACTTGCTGAATATCAATGAGTATGATATCGTAAAACACTCAAATTGCTGCATCGTACTATTCACTTAAGATCATATGAAAAGTTTCTTATTAATTCTTAAATAATGTGCACTATTTCTACAAACATTACATTCTGGGTTTACTTACACATAGGGCAAATGGGACAGGGCCCAACAGTCCAGAAAAATAATATACAGTATACTGTATATGAATCTAGGGATAGTATTATTACTGACCATTAACATCTTCATAACTATCCTACTATGTGCAGCCAGCCCTCTGCTCTGCCCATGTATGATCTGCCTTCTGTCTGTGTCATGCTCCTGATGCAAAGTCTTTGCCTTTTCCCCTTTAAATGAGGCCACAATAGAAGGGTAACCTTCTTGGTTTTGGACCCCAATATTTATTATAGATGATTAAGGAACAAAACACCCTAATTTGGATTTGAAATGGTCAGATAGTTAAAAGGTATGGGGAGTTCTGATTAAGATATCATCCATCAAGAAAAATAAAAAGGCAACGGGTAACTAAATGCATCAGCAGCCACACAAAAACGAAAATATCTCATTCTAAGCAATCATACCAATAAGCAAACCCGCTAAACATGATATCATGGATTAGCTGGGAGGTAACCTAGCAAACACTGTATGTGACAAATGCGCAGATGAAAACATTGAACAGAAGCTTGTAGCTTAGAACAATAATGATATCAATGTCCAATTCCATCAATATAGTGACTTTTTGCAGTGCTTTGTGAAACGTTAGCATAAAATATCCACCTTTATAGCCTTATAGAGTAATGTTTTAGTACATTTCTTATGTTTAGCAGTGTTTCTCCACATTTTTCCAGTCATGGCAACCTATAAAAGTGTGCAAAATCTCAAGGCACTCCAGTCTAAAATGTTAAAACTGTAAATGTAGATTCCCTCCAAAATCCATACCTGCCCCCTATCCAAGATATGGATTCTGGTATGGATTTTAAGGGGGGACCCACACAAAAAAAGTGGTGTTCCCCCTTCACATAAGGAACTCCCTTCACATCAGTGACCCCCCTTCACATCAGTGACCCCCCTTTCACATCAGAGTCCCACTTAACATAATCAGAAATCAAAAGATCTCGCTGCACTCCTTACCGAAGTATGAAAAAGACACGTACGTACGGACGGGTGGGTGCTTGTAGTGGCCACGGATGGCACAGTGAAAAGATCAGATAGAAAAAAACGTCACCAGCACACCAAAGGATAATCAAGCAATAGTCCATTTATTGGCACATTGCCATTCAAATTCATTTGAATGGCAATGTGCCAATAAATGGACTATTGCTTGATTATCCTTTGGAGTGCTGGTGACGTTATTTTCTATCTCACCCCTTAACATCATGACCCCCCCCTCCTTTCACATCAAAGTCACCCCATCTCATGCTAGGAGCTTCCCTTCACATCAGAAGGCCCCATTTACATCAGAGTCACCTTCTTTCACTTCAGAGGCATGATGCTGTGTGTACATTTTGAGGCACCCCTGAGGAAATCAGAGGGCACCCTGGTTATGAAAGGCTGGTTTAGCATTTCAGGTTATTATAAGTATAAAACAAAAGCACACATAGAGCAGTAATGAAAAAGACCAGATATTAGGCATGACTTAATTCTACCTGGGTAATGATGCATACTGCCTTTCCATCCGGTCATAAGAGAGGTTGTGGGATCCACCAGGACCTCGTACCGGGACCTGCAAAAAAAAACAAGAAGAAAGGATGAACACAATGAGCAGACTCCACAATTTAATCGCAAGATGTCACTCTGGCATAACATAAATGAGACAGGAAAGAGGTAGCTGGGTCAAATCACTTTTACACTACAAAACAAAACTGGGATGCTTGGTCCTTAGAAATGACTTTTGGATATTAAGGCTTCTTGGAGTAGAGACATTACTCAGCTCAGTGACGCCATTGCAAGCAGATCGATGCAGCAATTTCACATTTTTTTCTTTGTTGAGCAGTGTGAACTTGATGAAATGAAGTGCACACAAAGGTGAAGGCTGAATAGCAAGCAAGAAGGTATTACAAAGACAAGATAGCAAACAGCTTAACCATACCAGTCTGCAAGTGGATTAAATCTTCACCTGCATTTTCAAAGTATTTTGAATGTTCTATAGACATGCACATGCAAACACTCAATCAGACTTTCTCAAACAGAAAAAGAGTCAAAGGCAATATGAAGGTAACCCTAAACAGCCATCCAGTAATCTTTATTTATTGGTCTGACTTTTTAAGCTGATGAAAGGTAAGATCTGACTTACTGATACAGCACAACTTGACCTGGACAATACCTTAATAAATAAACCTGGATATATGACTGCTCACAGCTGGTATGAGGAATTCATTGTAAATCTAGTCTTAAATATCAATACATCATATATTTATTCCCCCTGGTCTTTCTACATAGACAGGAGGAGATATTTTGAATGTTGATTGCAAATAGCCAGATCTGAGAGAGTACAATTATATCAAACTAATTGTAATAAAAGTGGTAATACACTTAATACCACCCACTGAAAGATGAAGTAACAGTGTCATCTGGATTTCCATAACACATATTTACCATCCCAGCAGATATTGATTGGCAGCACTTTCCATCTTTGCACCAAACACAGGGTCACTTACCGACAGAATTGATCTAAACTGGCTTAATATACCAGGACAAAATCAAGGTATACATGTGCATTAAAGGTTAATAGTTATAAGATTCTAAGTTATAAATCTGCATGTTCATAATACAACCATACATTTAGTAATAAAATTAGGATACAACTAAATCTGTGATACAATTATGTGAGAGATATGCAATGTTATTAATAAAACAGTTGGATGGACAGCCTAGATAAAGCTGTACAATAGTTTAGAGCCTGTGGATGGCATAGACATCAAAGGGTGGGCAGAAGATTCAACCACCAAAAGAAAGATCTTTCTTTACAAATGTATTTCCATAAGCACACAATCCTTTCAGGCAAACCTGCATGTTTATGTATAGTTGTGCTTAAAAGGATGCATACTCTGGCAGAAATCATGACATTTTGGCATTGATATTGAAAATATCACTAATCATGCCAAAAAACTTTCTTTTATTTAAGGATAGTGATCATATGCACCCTGGTGTAAGATTGATTTTCCTGTGGAAGTCAGGCTTAATAAAACCTTCATTAAAAAATGAAGAAAGCCTGAAATGTGAGTCATGAAAATGTGCATACATCATCACTGGACCTCTTCATTACAACAGTAGATGCTAATCACTTACAAAGGTGGAAATGGACTAAGCTTACTTGTTTTATTGTTTCGTTACCTACTTTGTATTGAGACATTTTTCATTTATTGCCCTGATTGTTGCAATTGCTTGAACTAAACTTTTATTGCAGGACTTTCTTTCCTTAAAAAAAAAACCCCCTTTACAATACTGTGTGTCGGTGAGTGTTGGGTTCCATTCAGGATGTAATGCATGCAATAAGAGGACACTATTGACACTGGCCTTATTTCAGGGAAACTATAGCAAGAGTTCAGGAAAATCTAGTCTCACAAGACTGTTTTCCTTTAAACCCCTTGCCGCCTGCCCATTGTCAAAAAATGGGCGGACGACGGATGCTTCCTGGTGGGTGGATGTACATGGGCGTGATTTTTTTTCTGATCGCGGGTGCAAGCGAGCAGAATCCTGCCGCGAATGTGAACAGCCAGTACCAGCTGTTACATACAAGCGTTCGGCCGGCTCTACAGCCGGCCGATCGCTTGTATGACCATGCACAGTGCGGGCCCCCCCTCTGCTGACACCCCAGCCACTGCTGGTTATCCCGAATATTACAGTGAGAGCAATAATTTTAGGGCCAATAATCACTCATATTACTAAACTGATGAGCGGTAAAAGCATTTAAAATGTCGTCTATGGCCAATTTTAGGCATGGTAGTTTTTTGCGATTTCACAGGCTCACTCAATTTTAAAGCTTGATATGTTTGGTGTCTATTTACCCGACGTGACCCCATCTTTAACATTTTACCAAAAAATTGTGTGCTGATAAATGTTTTATAACATAACAGGGAAAACAGGTTTTTTTTTTTTTTTAAATTGTTGGCACTTTTTTATTATATAAGAAAAAATTAAAACCCCAGTGGTGATTAAATACCACCAAAAGAAAGCTCTATCTGTCCCTAAAAAATGGTATAACATTAATTTCCGTACAGCATTGTATGACGGAATAAATGTCAGTCAAAGTACTGCAGCATTGAATACTGAATAATGACCTGTGCAGCAAGGGGGTTTAACACCCCAGTCTTCAAGTGGTTAAGACTGTTTGACCCAAGTGTGTCACAGAGTATCCATAAACGTACATTAATTTCATTATGTGAAACACATATGTTCTGTTTCACAGAATTATTATGCATTGTGTGTATGGTTTCTAGCGATCCCCTTTTACTACCTGACTATGCTAATGTGGAATACTCTGAGACACAATTGTATGCTATACTGTTTGTGCATCATGTGCTATCTTATTGTTTTATTCTATCTTGAAAAAATGTAATAAAATACTTTGAAAGTTAATTTCATTATGTGAGTGTTGTCAACTGGATCAGCAATCATTGAACGCAATTGCCATTTAACCTTTTCTGTCTTTAAGCTGGCCACAATTAGCTTAAGGAGGAGAGGGTGGGCAGGATTAAGAAGAATTGGCATGCCAATTCAATTACAGCATTGCAGCATCTGCACTACTGGCCAGTTTTACACAGCTGTATCATCTGCAGTATTTTAATTCTTGTAGTGCAAGCCCTCTCTGTGCTCTTTTTCTCTAGTACATTTCAGCCAATTCCCCCTTAACAATGTACTGTTGCTGGCCAATTTTACACTGCTGTATCATCTGCAGTCTCTTAATTCTTCATGAGAGCTTGCCACAAAATTGGACAGTTTTGCATCAGCAAAAGCAAGGGCAGTTTCTACACCCCATCAAATTACCATTTGACAAAAAAGCACGCGTCTCTGCTAAAGCTACCTGAAAAAAAGCCTTCAGACTGAAATGAATTAGAGTGGGATGCTGCTGTTGTATGTAAGTCAATCGTTTTGTAAAAAAATCAATTCCACAGCCAAATATGCACTGCCAGTGTATGCTGCCACTGAGACTGCCTGCAAAAATTGTACTCTTTTGTATCACATTATGTTACTACACTGTATTGTATCTTTTTTTGTGCTTTTTACATTGGTACATATCCCTCATGGCAGTGCCCAGCTTCCCATGCCTTTTATGACAGTAGGTTGCCCATTAGCTCTAAAATAACCACAGTTTAGCAACAAGTCCCTCCTTGTCCCCAATAGACTTTAATGGGATTTGCCTCTAAGCTCAGGTTCACCAAACAACTCCTGACAAATCGAACCTGGGCATATGCGCCCATCACTAACGAGCAACAAAGAGACTGATAGTGCACTGAAAGTGGCACTATTGAGCAGATATTCATTTAACATCTACCACATAATAGGTTTCCTGAACCAGGGCACTCAAAGCACAATGATTCAGTACATGGAAAGAGTCTATGCTTGTAGCTTTATTGTTCAAGTGCCAGCATAGCTCCCTTATACAAGGAAATGATGCTACTCTATATCCTCGGATAATATAGACAGCTAAGAATGAAAAGTCAGGGTGAAAGCACTTCAGCTATTAACACTCAGCTAGAACACTAGAGCCGTGCTCCAGTTTGTTTTCCAAGAAGTAACCTTTGTTGGTGGATGCATAAAGCACTATGAAAAGGCTCACACAGGGAGGGCAAACAGCATGACTACAGATGCTTTTAGGCCACTTTAAGCTCTGTTCCCAGTTTCACCTGCACAACCAGAGCCGAAGCTTTGAGTGTCTAGTTAAAAGGATGCTATTAGCCTTTTTTTTCCCTCAGTAAAAGCAGAAGTCTGAGAGAGACAATTTCAGTGTCTCTTGCATTAAGAAATATTCCTGTGTCTTGGCATTGCTAGGACCAGCATCTTTTGTGAGGGAATATATTAAGAGACCTCTCGGCTGCCTCCCCTCCACCAGATTAAAGCTCCAGACCCAATCAGTGCTGTATATGGAAGGTGCATTAAGACATAAGTACTCAAAAGTCTTTAAAGGCTGGTTTCTAATTGACGATAACCTTAATAGCTTTTCACATGCTGTCCTAAAAGGCTGCTGAACTCTGTGGCAGATGCAGGTCCTTTATGCAGTGCTGCAAATCCAGAACATAACAATGACACAAAAAGAGTAACAGCAGAAAAAAATGAATAAAACACGCATGTAGGAAGGAAATATAACACATTTTATATATATGTGTGTGTGAGTGTATATATATATATATATATATATGTGTGTGTATATATATATATATTGTGGCAGTGCGTGGCAATGCCATGGTGTCTTTTGGCAATATAGTCACCCAGGTCTCTCAGCCAGGGGGGCTGAGCAGTTCCAGAAAGTGCAAACGTTTAGTGGGTAAGAGATGGCTTTGCAATTCTTCCCAGGTTTTCCGGATGTGGCTTGGGTTCCTGGAACTGGGAGATTTCAAAGAACATTTGGAGGGATGAAATCTCCATTCCTGGGTCCAGGCTTTAGTGGTGACCAGCACCGAAAGAATGTGCACCTGGGCACAGCCCTTATGAGAAGAATGCTGGCTCATGTTCAGGGCTCCATCTGGGTGACAGAGGAGGTCTCTTCAGGAGTCAGGAGGGCTC